AGACAGAAGCAATTGGAGACGTGCAGTTGAAGCGCTATGTTCCACTAGGAACCCAAGGGAACAATAATGAAAATAATAATCAGTTACTGATATTGTGGTGAGAGCTGTCTGCTAGCCAAAATTGGTAGACAACAATTTACGTCAATGTTTAAGTCCCAAATCTTGGTCATAAGAAAAAAACAAAAACAAAGACTAACTCAACAACCAGTCACAGCAGACTTAGTGTAAGCGGATACGATTAGCAGATATATCAACGGACTGTCCAAGAAATAGCATCAAAGAGATGACAGAAAAGGCTTCAGCAGGAAAACAACCAATCAAGAGACGCTACCTCTCTGCTACCAATAACGAATAATAATATACATAAAAATCTATAAATATCTGTTGATTTTCTCAATAAACGATCTGTTGCCTGGTCCTTGTCTTCTGTCGTTACAGTATAACGCCAATGGTATTCGATTTTATCTCTGAGTACTTTCATTCAAAATCTATTTGGTGACCTTCAACAGTCATGAATTTTTATTCAAACTTCAGGGAGTCCCTCTCCAAACCAGCCAGTAATCAGCGGTGAATTTTATCAGAAGATAAAATCAATGTATTAGAAAGTAAATTCAGAACAAAGTATAGGTTTAACTCGGTCAAAGTTGTCAGACTTCTTGAAAATACTAAAAAGGAAAAACAATTAGATACTGAGTTAGAGAAAATTTGATTGATTCCTCACTATGTTTCAGCCAGAATCGACACCAGTAAGTGGGCAATTAAAAATCGAGGAATACCGGACATCTGTTTCTTTCCCAATTTGATACTAGCATATATCCAAAGGATTACAAGTTACTCAAAAAACTATTTTACATAGGACTTCTATCAATAGTTTTGTAAAAATCCCAGCTAGAGAAATCTAACCAGTGATACTGTTCTAGTCTTATCAAAACCCCGATACGTAAATGTTTTTTGCAAACAAGAAAAGCCCTTTTTAATGAAGATATCACTGAATTGTGAGTAAAACAAGAAAACCTTAAAGTCTGATCACGTATTGATGTCAAATAGAGAACCATTGAAAACCAGAGAGTACTAAAAAACTGTTTCATCTTAGTTCGGGTGTGAAGACGTATAGACGTTGACGACATCGGTACTGAAAATCGTGAAGTGACAGAAGTTAACATTCGTAGGACGTTGGATTCCATCCCATTGGCTGAACAGTCAACAGGCGAACCTAGTGAATTGAAGGTGCTGGCTTCGATCCCGAGTGAGATGACGTATGTGTGCTGATAAAGAGTCTCAAACTAGGACGAAATAGTCCTTCAGTACTCCTTCTTTGTTAGTGGTTCTCTAACCTATATAAATATGTGATTAAACCTGAGCCAAATCCAATCCCTACAAAATAACACTTGAAAAAACAACATATATTGTAGGAATGAGTGAGTTTGACTGAGACAGTTTGTGAAAAAGTTGTTTCTACGTTATTATTTTGTACTTATATTGATTTAAATATCAGTTACTGATAGAATTTTGATTTCTGGTGTTTCCAACTACATTTTTCAGTCAGACGATTTACTTTGAAGGGTGAAATTCAACTGTTCTCGACATAAACTGTGAAAAAATTATTTTGATTCAGCATTAGTTTAATTGATATAGAATACAGGTCAATAGTTAGATTCTCATGATTTCTAACTATGTACAGTAAAGTCAACTTAGGTGCCAGTTGATTTCCATAACCAACCAGATTTTGAACAGTAAGTTAATTTTCAAAAATTCAGAGTAATCGATGAGTGAAGTGAAACAGAGACATGTGAACAACAGCTGAGTTGCTAGAAAAAATCTTCGAATTCTAACGCATAACATAGTAGTGAGCCAATCCGGGCCCCACGAGACTTGGTAAGAGAAAACCAGTATGCAGTTTAGGTCTGAAGCTTTCTGCTGACTGACACAGAAGGGTAAACTTTTAGCGTTCGTCCTCGAATGATTTTTCTTCGTGCGTAAGATTTCGTCAGCTATAAGTCTGATTTTGGTTTCATGGCGGTTAATGGTTAAACAAAATGGGTCTTTTCACCTCATCACAGACAATATCTATCAGTTATACATACATATCAGGTCGTAAGAAAAAGGTGTAAACAGCGAAGAAAATTTTCTTTTCGATGATTCATTTTCATGAACTGTACAATCGTAATTATATTTGTCATAATAGTACTAATGATAATAATAATAATAATAGTAATAGTAATTATATTTAACAAAGAATACATAAGACCAATCAGATACTGGTAAACTTTGTCCTCGAAAAATGTATTACGCAATGTCAGGTGTAACCTAGATAGGGTGACTAGTTGTAAATTAAAAAAGAGGCAGAAGTTGGCATGACGTAATAAGTGTGAGATAATCACTAATCAATAGGCTCGTGTAGAATGGACAGGAACTAGTGGAAAGGCGATAAAGTGTTTTTATATCAAATCTGTGTGAAAACGCAATGTTACTAATAAACAGCAATAGAGTGATAATAAAATATAGATGATGATAATAATAATGACAGTGAAATAATGGTAATAATAATAATAGTAAACTTGCGTCGGTGGCATAGCGGTTAAGACGCTCGCCGACCATGCACATGGTCCGGGTTTCGATCCCCGGCCGACTCACTCCTTTACCTCGCTAAGCCAGAAATAATGCTGGTGAAGAGGGAAGGTTGGGCATGAGATTAGCGACCCCATCCTGTAAAATAAACACTGCTACAGAAACTCCAAGCCACAAGTCATATTAATATATGTGTAAAACTTGGGCACTGTGGTAGTAAGTAATTCCATATTAGTTTGTTTATTAGGTATATCACACATTGAAACAGTATTATTTACTGGATCCAAGCCACAAGCTTGTAGCCCTATGCTCCACTTGGGAACGTGAAGGAAGAAAAATAATGATAGTAATCTTACATAATAAAAAGAAGCAAAGTCATAGTAAGGACGTTACTGTGCCCACAGTAGGGCGAGTGAATGTATGTAGCGCTTTTGAATTCAGAGGTCCGGTTTCAAATCCCGAATAGCCAATGCTTCAGCTATGTACATATGGCGAATGCAAAGTCCTTTCCTACGATACTGAGGGACTCTGTGTAGCACTGTGAAGCATTCATACAAGTGGGGGTACTCGATGTTCGGAGATGATAAGGTGCTCGAGGATGGAGCTGCTGCTATTCTTCTTTTCTCCTCTGGCTAACCAAGCCTGCCAATGTTCCAGGATACGTTTGTGAACTTGACATTGAGTACGGCCGATATACTTTGCCCAACACGAGCAAGTAAACTAATAAATACACTCTACCTTGGCCAGAGTAACGTTCTTACTACGACTTTGCTTCTTTTTATTATGTAAGTTTACTATTATTATTATTATTTTTCAAGTATTGGTTTTGTAGGGATTTTTATTTGATTGCATGGAGGATTTCATCATGAGCTGACATCAGTTAGAGAACCACTGGGAAACCTGGGAGTACTGGACAGCTGTTTCGTCCTAGTTTGGGACTCTTCATTTGTACGCATCCGCCGGGGTTCGAACCCAGGGTCTTCTGGTTATAAGGAGAGCTCGTAGACCATTGAGCCACTGGGACCTGATCCAGTGGTCCTTGAAGATGAGGCAGTAACTCATCGAAGAAGACATGGCGAAATGGTCGTGAATTGGTAGAAGTTAGATTCTTAATAAAGCAGGAATTAGAGTGGAATTTAAACCTACAAATTCACTCCGGGACAAGCTCTGTAGGCTGAAAGACCCAGTTGACCCAATTAGACAAAATAACATAATTTACAAAATACCTGGCAATGACTGTGAGTCAGGTCAACTACGTAGGTCAAAATAGTAGGTGGGTTAGAATGGTTGACCCTGAGAAGAAAAGTAATTTAGAAAAAAGCTCATCAATTGCACTGCATGCAATAACACATAACCACACAATGGGGTGGAAGAGGGTCAAAATTCTAAGAAGTAATATAGGTAGGTGGAGAGAGAGGTTGATTACTGAATCCTTGTTCATCGAGTCTACATCCAACACGTGCAATAGGAATGACTCATCACTCATACCGGAAATATGGAAAATACTACTACCAATTAAGTCAAGCGATGAAAAATAATGGAATTATATAAACGAAGCTAGAAAGTTGTGTGAGTACCTTGATATGATTATGAGCAGCAATAAATTGTGCTCGAAACGTGGTCATCAGTAAATATTACTGTATAACACTGTGAGACTTTATCAAAATAAATTTTACCCACAATGGAATTATAGTCTACCACAGTGCACAAGTTCTATTATTATATCAGTGATACATTTCTGACATTCTGATCACATGTCTACTTGTCATACACATTTATATATAGAAGGTAAGAGAACATGAAATATTACAATCGAGGTCAAGTTGTGTACAGGTCAAGGTCACGAATAAGGAGTAGGAAGATGACGTAAGAGTGTAGGGTATGAAAAAAGAAAAAATAGGGTGAGAATCCCATAAATTGGATTACCAAGGCAGGTTCAAAGTAATAACAAATAACTTTTGGACACATAAGACAGGTTTAAGCCTTTTTATGGCCAAGGCTTTAAGGAATTTAAGTATGTGACCCAACCTTGTTTTATATATGGGTTTAAAGGCATTATTGGAATCAACTTTGTGACCTGTCTCTATGATGTGCTTCGCAACAAGTTATGTTGGACATCTATTTCCGGGATCACTTGTATTCGGTGATTCTATTTGTTGTTGCAGTCAGTTTGGAATATGTTTTGTAGCCCTAGCTTACAGAGACCAATGGGTCCTCCCTATGTGCGTGTATCCACACATACATGTAGATTGGTAAACACAGTGGGATGTGAAACTATTGTTCGGATGCAGTAAAAGTTCTCTATGAAAATACGTTTGGCTGCATAGTAAGTTCTATTATTTGCCACCTTGAATGTTTGTTTATTTAGTGATCACTTGAAATTCATAAAGGGAACTAACTGTTTTAAACTCTTTTTTTCTTTACAATATTAGAATCCTAGTCCATTCTGCTTTGATTTGGCACAAGAGCATATTTACAATTTAATAAAAACCGACTCGTATACACGTTTTCTACGATCACCTGATTATGCATTAATATTGAATCATGCATTGAAGTCATCATCAACGACACCATCACAGAAAACAGAAGAACAAAAATAACCTATTCACATAAATATTAACAATGGCAAGAAATGAGCTGTCTTGATTTTTTCTTCTCATTCAATAATAATAATAAAATTCTTCTTTCTCTCATTCCTTGTGTTCTGAGCTTTGAAATTTCACTCGTGGCAGTGTTATTTTAACAGGGTAGGGTTGTTAGCCTCAAGCACAACGTTTCCTCTGATTCAGGCTAACTGGCAGTTGGGTGAGACTTTGAATTGATCCAGGACGACGTACATGGTTGGCGAGTATTTTGCCATTCGTTTACCGAAGTTTGAGTTTCAGGAGAAATGAACACACACTGACTTCAAACTTTTACAAGACCAGAACTACATGCAGTGTCATCTTCCCCGGTGGACCATATTATCTAACTAAAACGATTCAGTGATTATTAATATTGTTTCCTTTAGTTCCTAGAGGAATATAGGGCTTCAGTCGCACGTCTCTATTGTGTTCGCTTCTCTACCAACGTTCTCACCTGGCTCCACGTCTGCCCACATGCTTTCAGCTCCTCTTCACATGACCTCCTCCATGTTACTCTCGCACTGACGACCAACTCGCCACTTCCCATACGGGCCCCACTCGAGTGGTGGCCTGTTGTGTGATGTCACTTGGTGGTTTTTTCAGAGTATGGCCAGTCCACCTCCATTTTTTCCTGCTCATTCCCAGAGATCATTGTTGCTGATCTTTTCCTGCCACCTGATCTTGAGTGAAGACAGCTGTTTGTTTGAAGTGCCTTTCGTGACGCGCCAAGTCTCTGATCTGTATCGTAACACTGACTTCACATTGGAGTTGAAAATCCGGATCTTATTTTTCATGCTGAGTGCTGTTGACCTCCACACAGACTTGAGAGTAATGAAAGCTTGCCTTGGTTTCCCAATCCTCGCTTTGATATCCTCATCAGTTCCACACCTGTAGTTGAAACGATGCTTCCCAGGTCGGTAGGTAAAGGAGGTTACTTCTTTCAGATTTCTCCCATTTCTGCTGATCGTTGTCTGATGTTGTTGCTGTTGGCCAGGAATATTCATCACCTCTGTCTTCTCTATGCTCATCTGAAGTCCTATCTTTGATGCTTCTTCTGCCAAGTTGTTGTTTTTCACTTGCATATCTTTCAGTTTGTGGGAAATCAGACATATATCATCGGCGAAGTCTAGATCCTCCAAGCTTTTTGTGTAGGTCCATTTTATGCTTGTTTCCTCGCTGCCTGCCGTCCGTCGCATTATCCAGTCTACCGCAATCAGGAAAATCATTGGAGATAGTAGACAGCCAACTTGTCTTACTCCCGTCTTCACTTCGAAGTCTTCCGTGAGTTTCGCGTAGTGGATTACTTGGCATGCAGCATTGTCGCATAACTGTTGGATGGGATGTATAATTGTCGGCGGCCCCCCGTAGTAGCGAAAACGTTTCCAAATCACATCTCAATTGACGCAGTCAAATGCCTTACAAATCCTAATAATTAAGTCTGTTTTTCAACTGACGTAGTCCTGCATTATTATTTCTAGAAGAATATTGATAAGAGTGTATTCATTAGTAGACTGGTAAACAGGCGATAGTTGAATTCAGTGAAAGATTATTACATTAATGTACAAGGGTTTAGTATGTCAAGTTACCGTTACTCTTTACTACTAATGAAAACTTTTCTACCTAATCGTAATAGATGAATAATAAGGTTTCGGTCACCAGAAAACAAAAAGGCTAATGTCGAAAGATTATGACTTAGCTTGGGAACAACTACGAGCACGAAGAATTAAGCTTCTACAAATGTGGCTCAATAAAAAGTGTTGTTAAAAACCATCAACAGTTTTATATTAGATCACTTCATCCAAAAAGGCCACAAAGTTATTATTGAAGAGTCTTTCTGTAATATCTATCGGGTGTCGAATAAATTACCAAAGGTTCTAGATGCCGAACACTCTGAATGTCAGAGGCCATTATTATTACTGTTCCCTTTAGTTCCTAGAGGAACATAGGGCTTCAGTCACACGTCTCCACTGCGTTCGGTTCTCTGCCAATGTTCTCATCCGGCTCCATATCTGCCCACATGCTTTCATCTCCTCTTCAGATCACCTCCTCCATGTCACCCTCACACTGACGACCAACTCGCTGCTTCCCATTCGAGTGATGGGCTGGCATGTGATGTCATTTGGTGGTTTTCTCAGAATATAGAAAGCCAATCGCCCTCCATTTCTTCCTGCCTATCTGTTGCACAATTTGTTCCTGGTTGGTTCGCGATTGCGAATCGCTTAAATCAGCAGGAGCTCTTCGAGCAAAAGAAACAGGTTCAGCCATTACTGCTATCCTGGACTGCTGTCGAACCTATAAATTCATAAATTTTGTTTTACTTCCTTGTGCTCAGTGTAGTGTTATATTGATGTGTGTTATCACCTACTGATGCTTTTTAAATGTAATCTGTCGATATCCTTGATTCCATGTAATTTGAAACATTAATGTTATTAATAACAAGAATTCTTTAATTATTATGGTCATATAAATGTAGAACCTGGAGACGAATTTAACGGAAAGAATATTCTTTGTTCATTAATCAGCCTTTTAAATTTCTAATGCGCATCTTCAGTCATACAAGAACAGAACTTGGGCACTGTGATAGAGTATAATTCGATTATGGAGAAAATTTTATTTTGAGAAAGTTTCACAGTGCTATACAGCAATATCTTCAGTCAGGTAAAACAGTTTTCAACATTGTTCACACCATCAAAACATTTATGAATAGTAAATAAAAGGTTGAATTCAGTTTTAGATTTTCCCATCTATTGATTGAACCAAAGTGTTCGGTCTCAAGTTCACAAGTCGATTCCTTGGGAAGGAGGCTCCTGGGGTTCGAGCCTCGGTGGGAAAACCATCACTCACCGCGGAATGCAGGTACATCCAGTGACGAGTCTCAAACAGGGCGAAATGCGTATTCTGGATTCCACCATTTAAATAAAAGGTTAGTTGAAAAAGCAGTCACAGTGGGCGTAAGTACAAATTCCGGTCTTCTATAAAAATGGCAGCGCAAAGAACATGGAAACTACTTTTTTTCGGTAAGCATCTTTTAGATATAATAGAGAAGATTTGTAGCTCAGGTGGATGATTTTGGTGTGGTTGTGTTCTCTGAGCTGGATGGTTTGGTTGCGAAGCTTTCATTGCTCTACTGAGCAACATCTTCAGCGCAAACTAGGGGATGAAATGTCACACGAAAACAACCAATCACGTTCAAGGTTACTAGAAGAGATGACTAATAAACTCATAGAGAATTCTAAAAGCTCACTTCACATCGAAGTATGCGCTGAAGATGTTGCTCAGTAGAGCAATGAAAGCTTCGCAACCAAACCATCCAGCTCAGAGAACACAACCACACCAAAAGCATCTTTTAACTTGGCAAATAACTTTGAACAAGATTTCTTTAAACATTGAGTGACCAGTGTCAAAAATATGCTCCGTGTTGACCCACTGTAGTCTGTTTACTGTCATGTAGGATAATTTTGCTTGAATCTTATAATAATAATAATAATAACAGTGAGTTTGTTTCAAAAGGTATTATCGATTCAGTTTGGAAACTTTAGCATGTTATGGATAATTGGATCTAACGTTCTGTTTATAGTGAGGGGAAACACAAGATTAACAGCTATAATACAGCTTAAATTATGTCCGTACTTATGAAAAAATACATGAATAAATAAAACAAAAAATTGAGAGGTTTATAGATATAAGAAATACCATAACAATAAAGTTTGATGTTGTAAGGGTGGAGGAAATGGATTGTTTAGTGGTGCAAAGAAGGTTGGTTAGTTCATGCCTAATACTATTTTCATCACATAAAGTACGTGCTAAATATGGTATAGTGGAATTTTTATACTTAGACGTACGTGCTTAAATTCTTCTGAACAGACTTCTTGTTTTACCTGAGGAGACACAAGGTTGGAGCTGCGGGTAGAGAGGGTGCTCACAGTCTGACAAAATTCCTTTAGCGAATTTGTTGCATGACATCAAGTGCCTATCCGTGACAAAACACTTATTGAACGATCTATAAATTTTGCTCCCCTGGAGTAAAAGAATTGACAGATACAAATGGAAATGATCAAATATGATAGTTAATCGAACAACTGATTGGAGAACATTGGACGGTAAGAAGAAAACCAAAGAATTCACTTCTTCTTTTCTTCAGAGACACTTTCATCTCTTGGTGTCGGTAATACATTACGTTTCCGTTTTAAATAGATAAATCCTCAGAGTTGCGTTCAAGTCCTTCTTGAAAACTGCGTTCATATGTAACACCTTCTTTGGCACAGAGATGGAATTTCCTTTGTTGGGTAGGGCTTTTGTGTTCCAGACTGATTCATTTTACTGTGTTTGACAAACTGAATTTACATACGCAAAAAATTATATATAATCGCCATCGTATACCTATATGCGTGAAATCACCGTAGTGCCTCATCGTTGGACCATTTTCTCTTATCTCCATGCCCAGTTTGATATTTTCTGAGTATATTAGTAGCCTGATTGTCATTGGTTAAATTCAGCATTGGCTGTTGAGTGGGATGAACCTCATTTCAGTAATAAGTCTCATTTTCACCACGGTATCATATGCTTACATTCGTAATGTTAATTAACAAGATTAAATATCCTTATCGGGTAGTTTACTGTTTTTTCTGATGATCTTTAGGCAATCTTTCCGATTGCTAATAGCTCCACTTTTGATTATATACAAAGTCTAAATGTATTGAGATTTTCTAGCCTGAAAAACAAATTTTAAATGAAAAGACATTCAGTGAAGAGTTACTCTTTTCGGTGATATCATTCTCAAGCTGTACAGTTGCAGATATGTGGTAAATTGTCCTAGCAACAAAATGAATATTTCCAAAGATGTGTCATTAGAATTGTAAATTTTGGACAACAAATTACGTAATATTTTTCATTATTCCTTAACGTTCCCAGTGGAACACAGGGTGTCAAACTAGAGCTTTGAAGTTTCAGTAGCAATGGTGTTTACTTCTACGGGATGGGATTGCTAGCCTCATGCCCAACCTCCCCTCTTTACCGGCTTGGCGAGGTAAAGGAGTGAGTCGGCCAGGGGTCGAACCTCGAACCACCTACGTGGTTGGCGAGCATTCTACCGCTGTGCCACCAAAGCACACACACTTAGCAACAAAATGAATATTTCCAAAGATGTCTCATTAGAATGGTGAATTTTAGAGAACAAATTAAGTAACATAAAGAGCATTAATCAGGTAGATAGTAAAAATTAAGTAACGTAATACAATTGACGGATGCGAGTAGAATTCAACCAAAGTTGAACGTGAATTAAGTTGACAACAGTGGTAAAAGTTTAGTATAGGGCGAGGGAAGTAAATACCACAAATAAAAAACATAAAAATTACATATCCAGTATTAAGATAGATCAAGTCCATTGTAGATTTAATGACTGAACAAACTTCTTTTGTATGCAAAGTTCAGCATTTAGCATGTGGACTACCATTAATTCGGTAGTTTGATTCGTACACTTTTAGCGAGATTCCCACTTACTCTGTAGATGACTTCGAGATACGTTTGTGGGTTAGCTTGGTGTCCAGATTCGATCAGGTGTTCCAGGATAGAGCTGGGGGAGGATATTTTCTCTCCTTTATAAAAACCATGAGGATGACAGTTGATGACACGTTCGCATAGCAAACGCCGGGTACGGCCGACATAACTAACCCCACACGAGCAGGTGAATCGATAGGTGCACATTGATGAGGCCAACAGTGGTGGTTTATCCTTCACCTCTATGCGAATCATTGACCTTGTAGAGAAAGTCGAAGTTAACACGACAAGGTTTTCTCTAGTGAGCGAAACAGGCGGTTTCTCGGTATTTCTGCCGATGAGTTTCCATTCGGGAGCAGAAACTGTGGGCGGCTTTAGTAGTTTAGGTTTCATGGATTTTGTGATGAAACTTTCTGGGTATCAGTTTTCAAGGAGGATTCCTTTCAGAGTGTTTAACTCCTATTCCTCTGTGTCAGGGCTGCAAATGTTGAAGATCCTGTGGTTCAATGAACGAATCAGGTTTCGTTTTGTATGTAGAGGCGCCCAACTGTGAAAGTTAGTGAGTTGTCCACTCCATGTTGCTAAGAAAATTTACTATATATCTGTGATTGTACAATTTGAGAATGACATCGCTGAACGTCTTTTCTCTTATAAAACTCAATGGGGATTTTTAAGTTGCTTAAACAAAATTTAGCCTTTGAATACGCTCTTTTCTTTCTATCCGACTGGAATTGTTTAAACATGTGATGGTTGTTTCAACCGCTTTTAATTGATCGCAAAAATAGTGTGTACAAATTTATTTATCTAATTAGGCTCAATTGCTCAGGACAACTGAAAAACTTAGCAATTCGCGCAAGCTGGTAGCACTTTAGAACTGACATGCTTTGTAATATGATTTTGAAATTTTTCGATTACTCTTTGTCCATCCGATTCAATTTGCTAAGAATTACTGCTAAGTGTAATATTAAGAAGCTAATTACTCTGAAATGGGTTTAAAGTTGTACAGTACTGAGCATAAGCGACAAGATTAGAAATTTTAAAAGTAATGTCAAGTCGGTGCTTATAAAAAGTTCAGAGACTTGTTGAGAGGACCACACCACTGAAGACTTACATCTACTGGCTTGACAATGATCACATAGCCAGCTAGAAAGGATAAACAAGGAACAAGAAATTTTGGCAGTGCAGAGAATCCTCCCAGAACTTACTCTCGAATATATATGCAAAAGGAAATGGAGGTGTACAGGAAATACACTGAGGAGACCATTCAAGGACATCACATGGAAGGTCCTCGAGTGGAATCCCAATAGGAAACATCTGGGGGGTCCGAAGATGATAAGTAAGAGATCATATTTGGAAGAAATGAAAACATTTAAACAGTCGTAGAGCCGGCTTAGAGGGATCGCAGAGGGCATCGCATAATGAAGATGTGCTGCTACTGCCATATGTTCTACTCAGAACGCAACGAACGAGTCATAGTGATATAATAATAATAATTAGGGAGGTCTTATCAACTTCACTGAAAGATCAGCTGAAGTCAAAGGAGGAATAAAGCAAAGCTATTAAAAGACAAAATATAGTAGAGCTGTCGTTCAATAGATATTCATTCACTCCTAACTTACAAATGATATGAACTCGCTTTTTGGTTTGGTTCCGTATTGGTAACTTACGGCCCGCTACGGACCACCGTGGGGTAAGTCAGGATGTACAATTTTTGGGGTCGACCTTTTCTAACCCCCTCTCTCCAGAGTGGAGAGCCAACATAGCTGGTTCACCTGAGGAAAACACCTTACTGCTGTTACATCCCTATTCCTCATCAGTACGACTTCGCCCACAGACCCCAGCATAGTGTAAAAAATAATCTTACACTATGACGGTAATTGCTTTTAGTCTAATCGCTATCCTAACAATATTCCTGGCATAGTACGACCTGCAGGAACATTAGTTCCAGCCAGTGTAGCTTGTTGGGTCATTGAGATATGCAAGCCCGACTACCACGTAAAGGTAGCAGCTATCAGTCGGGAAATCAATCGACGAGGTTGTAAAGTTACACCGATTGAGATGGTTAGGACATGTGTTTCGCATCACTAACCATCGCCTTCCTCGACGGGAAATGTTATCTGACTGACATAGGATCAGGTTGGAAAAGAGCCAGTGGTGGTCAAACCAAAACACGACATCAGTCAATGAAATCCACAACAGCTAGTTTAAACCAGCCACGTAGGGAGGCGTAGACTGGCTTCCTAGTTGGGGTCCTCGGGATGATAAAAACCAATGAAGACTGAAGACAATTGGTGATTTGGCTCAAAATCGTTCTCAATGGCTGGCGCAGCTGCACTCACTCTTTGTGATTTGTCACATCCAATAAAATTCTATTGTTCTCCCATATTACCCTTCATTTTGATTCAAACTTCTGTTTATTATCTCTCTTTAATCTCTTCTCTTGCTTTGTGTGCTACAAGGAGGGAGTGTGGCAACTGGAACTGCTGCACATCTGTGCAAAGTTCTACGTTGAAACCAGTCAGTCGGTCAGTCAAATGATATGAAGTCGACAGTGAAAAGTTGTTGTCTACAGAATTCAAGATAGACATAAATTCCAATACGAATCCATGTCCTGTCTAATTACGCTTCAAAAATTCTCGACGAATGAAAACTCAGATCACAAAAGACACACATACACTCAAGTAAACGCTGATAAATATCAAGAGACAATAGGAGAGAATGTATATTTTTTTAATGTCAATCTGTTACAATTCTGAAACAGACTGAAAAACAAAGATCAAGATGTGTAACAAAATAAAATCTCCAAATGAAGAAAATCATACATATACAAGCATAAATATCTGCATATTTATGCGAAATGCATTGACACATAGAATACATACACATTGAATATATATATATATATGAGGTAGGTTAATTCAAGTTCATTTCTGCCAATTTCACAGCTCTACGACCTAATGCCTCTGCCTTGGCAACAGCTAACAACTCCGGAGATGTTTGACACCAACCAGATCGTCTACGATTAGCAGCCAGTGAGGTATACTCTGGTGACTTAAATGGAGATTGTTTGCTTGTATTGTCTGTTAAGTGGTGACGATTCAATTCTTGTTGGTTTTTTCGTGTGGATGGTGATGCTCTTGGAGATTCAAGTTTAGGAGTTGACTTGAGTACATCTTTACGAGATCTGCTTGAATTTTTCTTTAGACTAGTAAAAAATTCATCACTATCATCATCATCACTGTCTGAGAATAAATCGATAAGTCGAGTTCTAGTACGCTGTTGACTTGGAAGATTTGTATCTCCACTGCCGGAATTCGGTAATCCAGATTTCGGTGTAAGTGATGTCGATTCACCTGGTGTGGACTTTTTATTCGGTGAAGATCCATGCAAAGTCTTTACAGCATTACGTTTAGAACTATAAAAAATGCAGCAGAAAGGAAATAATAAAACAAGAGCATCAGTCGTATTCAATGTACAGCAAGATAAATACAATCATAAGTAATATATACATATTCTTGCAGTGTAATTTGATTTCTTCGAAAAACCCGACTAGACAGGAAATAATTCTAACGAAGTGGAACTAACAAAATACCAACTAAGAAATGTTTTTGTTTCAAACTTCTAACCATACAAAACAGTAATGATAGATTGATGGGGAGGTTCAGTAGTTTAGGCATTCGATATACACACAATGGACTTCTGACTTCGAATCCCAGTCCATTTAAATCAGTTAAAGCGACCATATAGTACCGAACATAGTGAACTATAAGACGTGGAGTTTAAAACATGAAATCACCTTCCAGAGGTAAGGAATGTAAATGGTCGCAACCAAGTACACTTTTATGGAATTACAAATGAGCGATATCAACTCTGTGGTAGTCGATGATGCGCTGACCGCATGGAACATATGGTGGTTAAGGTATTCAAAATGATAGAATTCGGATACATGTATTCGAAAGCGTTTGAATAGCTTAATAACACACGTTGCACCGCCACAGCTTTAAAGGTGTCAGTTGTGAAACGAAGTGCTTACGCTGAAACCTTCTTCGTATTGATGTTAAGAACATATTTTTTTCAAATAATATCACTTGTAATGAAAACCACCTTAGATTTTGTTAGGATCCATGAAGCAACGGTATTAAAAACAAATCACAATTCAGTGGAGATTTGCTGACGGAATTGCAGAACGGAACCAAATGGCTCATATGGCACTTGCCAACTTACGTCATCTTTAGTGTAGACGCGAAATCTGGCTATCGACCGAAAGTCGCACAGTAGTTCACTCTGCTCTTCTTTATGGCATTGAGACACGGCCACTGAAAGTGGGAGATATGAAAATGTTACCTGTTTTTGACCACAAATGCATTAAGTGGTATAATATGGTGAGTAATATCGAGGTTAGGTAAAGAGTGCTATGTAGGAAGAGTAATTTAATCAATGAAGCTGTGAAGCACCATCGATTGAGAAGGTTAGGACATGTGCTTATCCCGTGTTACTAGTCTTTTTCCTTCACTTTTCTGCTTATAGTTCTTTTGAGTCTATTTTTCAGTCTTTTCTCAACGGAGTGTAGCATGTTCTATGTTGGTATTCTATCCGCCAGTCAATACGTGTAATACATTAACAACATAATTACACATTTATCCTTGTAACAAATATTAATGCAGTGAATAGACCATAAAAGCAATTAATTCCCCATATATGAATAGAATCTACAGTATGTTAAAATATTTATAAAAAAATGGAAAGTGGTTAGAGTTAAATTAAATTTACACCTACGCGTGGTTAGTACTGTTTACTGCTGAACCTTTACAAATATTCTTATCCGCCTCTGAAGAAGTACCCACAGGTGATATATTCTCCAGTTGTTTTAAACGACTACTACCAGCAGGTGGACGACCTCTAGGTTTTTTAGTCGGTAAACTGTCTGGTGTTTTTGAAATAGAGCTGTTAAGATCTAAATTTTCAACTGAATTCAAAGCACGTGAGTCGTTCGACTGTAAAATTGAAGAAAAAGAAAACAAGCGATTTGTGAGGGTGAATAAGCTTCAAGTTTATTGAAGGAATTAATCAATTAATTAATTAATTAATTACAACATGGTGGTTTTAATCACAAAACCACACTAACTGGTATTCAATACTTCTCCAAAATGACATCGATTCACAATGAAATCTAGTCAACGCTTTGTAAAACTCGAAATCTGAACTAAAGTTTGATTGAGAATTACTATCTCACCAATAATTCACTCATACAATGACTACAAATAATCACAAGCATTTTTTACACATTCGTTCACTGCCAAGTGTTCTGTGTAATCGTATTTTTACTTGAAATATGTACTCTGTGCCAAGATTTTCATGGACAAAAGGATAAAGATCTACTCCGAGAAGTAATATTTGTCTTCAAAGACTTTATTATCGAATTCGATCACAAAAACTAACTTCAGTTAGAGAACCATTGAAAACCACAGAGTACTGGACATCCATTTCGTCCTTGTTCGGGAATCTTCATCAGTATGCAACCCATGACCTCACTAGGGATTGAACCTAGGGGATCTTCAGGCTATAAGGCAAGCTCGTAGACCAAGCGGACCCATTAACTGTAACTTCTGTCAATTCACGATACATACCGTGACCGCCAGCTAATGTCATCGTTAAATACCTGTCGTCACACCCAATTTGATGGACCCTGATGGTCATAACTTCCCACTAGAACTTCAGACAAGTTCATTCTGTAGTCAGTCAGTCACTAGTGAGAACCAGAGTAATTTTCAAGTGTTTCTTTTGCAGTAATTGGACTATTTATCAAGCTGCACCAAAGTATGTGTACCTGATGGGGAAAATCACTGCGTTGCACCAAAAATTATACATACGACAAGACAGAATGTTCAACAGGTGGCAGATTAAAAAATCCCGAGTTAGAATATTGCTCTTTGTAATAGTATTAATACTTATAACAATTATGACTATCTTAAGGTTGATAACTATGGTGTAGTGGGTGGAATTATCAAACAAAATAGATGCATTAAAAAGGAAGCCAAGCTGAATAACAGAGAAATATGAAAATTCCAATGCAGCATTTTGCTAACCCTTCATGACAGTCAATCAAGAAAACGATGAATATGCGAATATGCATAAGAGAAATACACAAAAAATGAGATGGGAGAACACTACTTACTCATGAGTAGTGAGATAAGTAACATCGAATAAATGTCACGCAGAAGACGTTGAATTAAATGAAAAACATAAATTACTGAAGAAAGAATTTGATTTCATGGAGTACACTACGGATTTATCACCGAAAACATGACAAACACTAAAAAGACATAGTGAACAACTATTTTCCGACACGAATTTGAAACTCACAAGAAATGTTAACAATATGACAAAAATCCCTATTTAGTGATTGGTCCACACAACCTAAGTAATCTGTTCCAATGACAATCTTAATGATGAGCTTAATATTATCAGATAATTACTCAGTAAAAATGGTTATACAGATAAGTGCATCAATAAAGAATACTAATTTAGCGCCAAAACAAGTCAGTATGGCAGCAGCTCCAAAAAATCCCTTGTTCAAAAACTGAAATTTCATGGTGGTAACAATAATGAAATAGTAACACGGAGCTTAAAGAATCCAGTAAAAAATGCAACCAATCCAGCAGAAGCACACCGTCTCTTCATAACCACTGCAATTTCGCGTTCAAGAAATGAGGATAAACTATCTAGTTTTTCCTCTTCTATGAATATCTACTAGTTTTGTAACTACAGAAGACAAGGGTTAGGCGACAGATCGTTTATTGAGAAAATCAAGAGATATTTATAGATTTTTATGTACATTATTGTCAGCGGAGAGGCAGCGTCTTCTGATTGGTTTTTTTCCTGGTGAAGGTCATTCTGTACGGCCTGCGACCGTTTCTCAGAAAGTTAAGCCATATATCTGCGAATCCTATTTACACACGTTAAGTCTGCTGTAATTGGTTGGTGAGTTCCTCAAAGTTAAGCTTTGTTATTGTTTTTCTCATGACCCTGATTCGGGAAGTGAACATTGACGTAAATTGTTGTCTACAATTTCGGCCTACAGCCAGCTGTCATCATAGTTTGACTGCTTTTGTGGAGCTAGTTACAATTAGGCAGGTTCATCATCGGATTAATGAACACCACGCTGCATGATTAAGCAAGCGACAAGCAAGGTATACTTGTAGCTCTGTTTTAACACCCCTTGTACATAGTAAGCATAAAGCTGATGTTAATAAAGCACTTAAAGTTATTTATCACTTTGCTTTTACGAGTTCATCTTTCTGATACAGCTGAGGTCATCAGGATTCACATGAAGAAGGCAGACCTATGTGTTCAGAAGAAACTTGTGCAACCACTCTCCTTACATTGGTCATCAGTACACCAATGTAAAAAAACTGATAATTTCCCCCACCATGTAAGGCATTCACACAGCGAATTCTCTCTCTATATATACACACACACAAAGAAAACCTTGAAGTGTGTATACAAACGAGGTGAGTGCAATCTGTTTCGCTAGCCTGACGCCGCCTTCAAACCTTTCAAGACTTGTGCAATAATTTTGTATATTATCCACCTAACCTTGAAATATGTTTTACCACATATTCTGATTCTTTTACACTCATGAACAATATTTTCCTTTTCTGAACACTATTCATCACTTCTTAGCGTTTTTTTCTCGATTCCGTAAGCCTACTTGACAGAGTGACATGTAATTTGATGTGCTTTTTCATCAACTTATATTATTAATTGACGTGTATACACATTTTCCATGACCTTTTTGAAAAAAAACACTAATTATACAGTTTGATGAGAAGTTAAGAAAAGAGTATTCTTTGCTGACCTATTTCTTTTCAATTGATATCACATGAGTACTTTTCATACAAAAAAAATGAAAACAAACCAAACTTTAACTATTATAATATCCAATAAGTTGAGCGTGTAGTACATCGGCAGTTCGATGGCTGAATGCCCGTCAACCACAACACACACCTGGTGCCGGTCTGATCCCCGGGGAACGCACTCTTAAACCATGCTTTTTTTATTCCTTTACGTTCCCAGTGGACCATAGGGCTTCAAGCTACAGACTTGAAGTTTCGGTAGCAGTGGTGTTTCTTTTTACGGGATGGGGTTGCTAGCCTCATGCCCAAACTTCCCTCTTTACCAGTCTTATTATTGGCTTAGAGAGGTAAAGGAGTGCGTCGGTCAGGGATCGAACCCCGGACCAAATGCGTGGTTGGCGAGCATTCCACCGCTGTGCCACCGACGCATTAAACCATGCTTACACAGTAGTAAGTCGGAAAGTTGGGCGTGAGATCAGAAACCTCACTTCGTAAAAAAGACACCATCGCTATTGAAACTTCAAAACTCAAGCTTGAAACCCTATATTCCACACAGAATGCAAAGAAGTGAAAAAAACTGAATGTGAGCTGTGCATATCACACAATCCCATTTCAAGGGAAGAATATGTCAGAATTCAAAAAGCCTTTTTTTACGAGATAAGGAGTTACTGAGCAGATTTCAGTAATTTCAATTCACCAACTTTATTGAATATTCTAATACAGACAATAGAGGTTGTCGAAACTTCACTATCAGCTGTATACTGTGCTAATAAGAAGGCTTTCTTTATCAGACAACATAAGGTCGAGTTTTCAACATATATACATGAGAAGAAAAAAAGCTGTCCGACACTGGTTAAGCTAAGTTACACAGAATGATACTTATTTGCTCACCAGATAATTAGTATGCAGTATAAGTAGCATGACATGTTCTAGGAGTACAGATCTTACAAGTGCAAGTACAGGCTTAGAATTTAAACTGGAAAGATTACTTGAAGTATCGATTGAAGCTGAAAGTCACGTGTGCATCATACACTTAAAATATAATAAACTCATAAGGACTATAACACACACACACACACTGCACTTCAATGTTGATGGTTTGGCTATTTTAGTAAGTAGATGTGATCTTTGTGGTATACAAAAGCGACTTATTAGTTCAACCAATGAGTCACAGGACTCAACCTGGCCAACCGTGTTTATTTGTATCCTTCACGTTCCTCAGTGGAACATAGGGCTTCAAACTAGTGGCTTGAAGTTTCTGCAGCAGTGTTAATTTTTACAGGATGGGGTTGCTAGCCTCATGCCCAACCTTTCCTCTTCACCAGCATTACTTCTGCCTTAACGAGGTAAGGGAGTGAGTCGGCCAGGGATCGAACCCCGGACCATGTGCATAATCGGTGAGCGTCCTAACCGCTATGCCACCGACGCAGGCCAACCGTGTAGTGTTATACGCATTAGGTTGAGACTCGTTACACAGTACACGAACATACACCAGGCAGATGAATTCTATTAAGTTCTCTGGATTATACGACGTCGACGTTTAGGAAAACTTACACCTAGAAGGGAAGTTATGAAATAAAAAACTGAGAATCATAATGCAGAGAACTGATAATAATAATAATAATAACTGGTTGTCGCAAAAGTACTCCAATAATTATCGGCTCTAAAAATCAATTACCTCCATAGACATTTGTCGATGGATCAACTCAGTGTAAGTGGAAAAAGAAAGCAAAGAACATTTCCTCACCTTTAATAAATCATCCTTCTTATTATATTTACGGCGTGCTGGTGAAGAAATACTCCCCGTCTCATTTGATGATTCCACAGTCAACTTACGACTAGATGGAACAGTTTGTTTGCCAATCGATGACTTAGCACTGTACAAAAGTTTACGTAAATAGGCATAATCTGGTGTATCTGAATAACCCAACTGTTTGATTGACTGGATGAATGCGAGTATATCTGTTAGAAGGGGAATAAAATAAAAATGACCAAAAGGGAAGCTCAGAACAAGCAAACAAAGAAGCTATTACTCAATAGAAACATAAAAATTCACACAATGAACCTCTTATTTGTGATTTATTATTTAACAAAAACAAATTTGGTACATTATGAGCACCAAGAGATGCGCCACACAAAAGTAAAAAGCGATACAATGTGTAAAGAAAATAGGGAAAGAACAAATAAAGGAAAGTTCTCCAGAAAGCAAGCACGCATACTTGTCAAGATCACTCAACATTCATCACTTCATTTTACTTTCAGAAAGAAGAAGGAAACTGAAGTATTTTCGTCACTGATTACGATTCTTGGCAATATCGGATAACGTTTCGCGCCACCGATTCGAACTATGTTTCGGAGCCCAACCAGGGAGTCGTGATATACTAACTAATGCTAACCTAACACAAATATCCTCCATCATACGGCGCCACGTTATGGGCTGACCACCTCTCTGCTTTTCCCATCCCTTTCTAGAGCTAACGAACAGAGACCTGTACGGAAGCCTCTGGGGATGACATTTGCAGCACATGTTCAAGCCACCGAAGCCGGTGTTTCCAGATGATGACACTCAACGAATGGTGATCTCCACTATGTCCAAACACACGCTGCCGGACCTCAGAATTACTCACGCGATGATGATTTCGGATACAAGCAAATCTTCGGAGGCGGTGATGATCGAATAGTCAGGGCCGCCGCACATCCTCAGCTCGGAAAGGTCGAATTTCACAGGTGTAGAGCAAGAATGTGCACACGGAAGCATTTTAAACTCAACCTTTGACAGCCAGGCTGACGCGTCGCGACGGAGATCATACGAATGAGTTGGTTAAAGCTCTTAAGATGGAATGATATTCGCTACCACAACTCACTAGATAAAAGTCAAGTATCTAAACGCATAAGAACTATCCAATCCAACACAATAATTTTTTTTCCTTCACGTTCCCCAGTGGAACATAGGGCTTCAAGCTAGTGGCTTGAAGTTTCTGTAGCAGTGTCTATTTTACAGGATGGGGTTGCTAGCCTCATGCCCAACCTTTCCTCTTCACCAGGATTATTTCTGGCTTAGAGAGGTAAAGGAGTGCATCGGACGAGGATCGAACCCCGGACCATGTGCATGGTCGGTGAGCTTCCTAATCACTATGCCACCGACGCCTAACACAATAATTATATACATTATATAAAGTAATAACAAAATACATTACAATATTGGAAACATTTAAACCAAGCAACAAAGATAGAAAGAGCAGAATTTAATGAATTGATAAATTTCTGTAGGACTCGACAGCTGAATTACTCTACAAACATTGCTATCTATACAATTTTTAAGGTTAACAGACATACAAACACATGAAACATGATGATATTGGAGTATGACTCAGTAGCTGTGATTAAACAGGGAAAATCTTGTTGGTCAACTACTACTGAAAAAAAAAATAAACTGATTACAGTGATATACCAGTAAGGACTGCAGATATTAAGACTTATGGCCGCTAAGCTAATAACTACCTGTAGTTTTCAAACTCTAGTTTTAAGTATAGTTCAGCGGTATGCTACGCTCATTATACATGAATACAAGTTATCTCTTCGTAATATCAATCTTTGTCAAAGCCTAGACTGTTTTTGACACGACTCAAAATCGTTATCAATGGTGCAGATATATTCACATTTTGCAATCCCCTAGATTCATTATATCCTGACTAGTGTATACTTAATTGTTCTTTCTCTCGTATATATTCATTAAATTTTGTTTTTCTAACTTTGTGTGGTTTCATGAAGTTTGACAACTTGATTTGTTGCACTTTCGTGGAAAGTTCTACGTCTAAAATTCACTTCAGTTCATGTGCTGCTGTTTATCGAACTATAATTCAGTCGCAGAAATCTTTACTTCATGAAAGTGGTACAAGTCTAACTTTTTTAGGCAAACACTGATTTCTATAAGTTTGCAGATACTAACAGACATAAATAAGCAGGCGGTTTTTAATTTATAAACGCTTTATTTCTTGGATAAGGTAGTAATCTGATGGATGAATGTACTAGTGATTGTTTTCATCCAGTTTCATCGACTGTTGAGGAAGCCAAAATTCCCCCAAAGTTAGCATTCATAATTGATTGTTTTGTTGTTAACAGCAGAGAATCAGTAGATATTAACCGTTAGCTTGTTTCATAATAATAATATTCCAGTGTTAATTTGGAGGGATTTAACTGACTTCAAGTTCGATCACGAATTGACATCAGTTAAAGAACAACTGAAAACTAGAGATACTAAATGGGTCGACCGGATGGCTCACCTGTCTGTCTGGATTCAACATAGAACTTGGCACCGAAGTGCAGCAGTTCGAGTTGCCACGTTCCAAATAGCACACAAAGTAGACAAGAAAATGAGTGAAGAGAATCAATAGAGTTTTGACAAGTATAAGAGTGAAACAGAATGAGTAATGGTAGAAAAGAATATGAAAGATTACAGAGACTGAATACGTCTGCGTAAGCCATTGACAACGATTTTGAGCTATGTCACCTATTGTCTCAAGCCATTGATTCTTAGAGTCCCGAGGGCCCCAACCCGGAAGTCTGCATCTCCCTACCTGACTCACTTTACCTGTCAGGGATCTCATGGATTGATGCCATGTTTTTGTTTGACCACCACTTACTCTTTTCCAAACGGCACCTATTACAGCTAGTAATGCCCATCGGGGGAGGCGATGGTTAGGCATGCGCAGCACGTGACCTAGCCATCCCAATCTATGTAACTTTATAGTCTCTTCGATTGATTTTCCCTCTTTGCCCAACACTCCACGCCTAACGTCAACATTACTTACCTTATATACCACCTAACGTGAGAAAGAGATCGCAGACATCTATGATCAAAAACAGTCAACCTTTTCATGTCTTCAACTCGTATTAGCCATGTTTCAGAGCCATCGAGAAGGACGGAGCGAACTGCTGAGCAGTACACACGTCCCTTGGTTGATAGCCGTATGTCACGCCTATGCCAGAGATGGTGTAAATTAGCGAAAGCAGCTCGAGCTTTTTGGATCCGTGCTGGCTCACCTCGAAACCTGAAGGTCTTGATTCGGGTCACGCAGTGAACTAATGATTGAGTGCTGACGAAGAGCCCCGAATTGGGTCGAAACACTTGACCAGTACTTCCTGATTTCCAATGGTTCTTTAACTGATATCTTTTCAGGATTCAACTTAAATAGTAATACTAAGTCGCTTTAGAATAAATATACAACTGTAAGGTGTTTAGTGACAGAAATCTACCAACCGGTAAGAATAACTGTTCAATGAATAAGAAAGATGGCGCATACATACGGGTCCACTGCATTCACTAATAAGAGATATTAAGTAAAAGTAGGATTAGACCATTGTAAGCCTTAGGGTGTAGTGAAATCATTCGAAATTGACACTTGACTTATGTCGCACGCCACAAGCTGATCTGATTAACACTAGTCAGTACACTACATACGAATTGTCTGTCAAACAGAGTAGGCTTTCAAAAACTATCAAATTTAATGCAATCAGAAAAGTATATAATAAAAACTAACCAGCATTTGGTCCATAACCAGCTTGTAATACAAATTCTGCAGGATTTTTCATTGTTTTCTCTTTTATATCAGCCACTGACACTTTAACACGATCAGGAACATTAGCGCGTAATTTAGGATCTGAATATTTTAGTAAACAATAAAAACAGTCAAAATTAAGATTATTTAACAAATGAAGGTAAGCAAGCAAGTGATTCTATTAGAAGCACGATCTTAAAATTGCTGATAGATATATACTGTACTTGACTTTGTGATTGATATAATCGTCTGACTGATATTAATTGATGGGAATCATATATCCATTCTAAATATTTACTATGAGTGCAGCTATAAATAATTAACTGTTTGAAAGACAACTACAGCTTAACTGTCATCATATCATAATCGTTCACTCCAAGAGTATCCCGAGGCTAACTGAAGTGTGTTAAAAAGTGTTCAACTCTATCATTCAACAACTACTTGCACTTGCATGCAAATCGGCAATGGATCACACAAATTATGTGAGGAAGTACGAGGTGTCTACCTGGGGGAGCTGGGAAACCCTGATTCCAAGCCTACGGCATATGAACCTGTTTCGGCCACTGGAAATCATGAGAATGTAGCTCCTGATGCTGTCCCACTGCCTTGTGAATTAGAGACTTCAAGTCAAAGACTCAGGGAATAACCTCTCAAGGCAACCACCTGTTTTGGTCTACGAGTCAGGACAGTATTCCACCCTCCTATCAACTATAAAATCTTGTGTGACGCATTCCTTGATGACTATAATGTACCAAGTTTATGTTTTGTATTAAATACATAAATTATAGGAGGGTTTATGATAAGCCCTGCTTGCCAGAACCTCACTAGGTAGAGTGTGGTGTTAAAATTGCTAACCAGATGGGTTGGAAGTCAATTGTCTAAACAAGTCAGTTACAGCTCCAATGGTCACTCTTACATATCATCTACGAATCATATTTGAACAATATCTGATGGAGTCTACCTTTTAAGAAGACGATGTTTTCTGAAAACATTCAATAATGAGTGATTTCAATATTAAAAGAAAAAAAGCTAGTAAAACCTAAAATATCATAAGTTGAGACTTATTGGGTTAAGCACTCGACTTCTATCTGATAGTTCTTCAGTTCAAGTTCCGCTTCATAACCTTAGCAACTGGATAGTGGTATCACCAACCCTCACACAGAGTCTAACTGCTCACAGCCTAGTGCATAAAAAATCTATTCCAGGAAAAATGAATTGAAATAACCATAAATGAAACTGAGTTAGATATTGAGAAGTAGAATCACTTAGAGTTAGTCTATAATATGGTGTATTAACACTACAGAGAGTGGGAGGCATTGGCTATCTTCATTTTCGTCCTAGTTCGGGATTCATCGTCGGTATGCACTCACTGCATTTCGAATCCAGAAGCATCCCAGTTACAGCGCAGCCACTGAGACCCGACTCAATGACCAGCTCATGAATTACAACTTCTACCAATACGTGATTTCAGCGCGACCACCAGCCAATGTCATCGGCGAGTATTTGTCCTCACTCCTGACCGGGTGGACCCCATTGGTCGCGACTTATCACTAGGATTCCAGACAACTTCCTTCTGCATCCAGTCACCTTTACGACCATAACACTAATTTTCACGAGTTTGTTTATACGGATTTGATTCGTTGCATCCGAAACTTTACTGAATAATTTCGCATTTTTAATTCTCTAAAGAACAGTAGTTAAAATTCTTACTAATCGACAAATTTGTCTTTGAATTCGGCCACTGGTATTTCTAAGCCCTATGTGAATTTCCATTATATTATTTATGACCATCTTATACAACTACACATTTAAGCGTACGCCATTATGCACAATTACACTAAGATAAAACCACTATAATTGACCTTTCAAGTACCACCTATACTTTCTACATTTATTTTATCTGACTATTTCACAAACTGTTACCAGATCCACTGGTTTACTGATCGAATAAGTGGTAATTATTACAACGGTTTATAATTGATAGGCAACATTAATTGATTTGTATCCTTTCGCTATCCAAATCACTAAACATAAAAACATAATGATTGTATAACTATAAAATTAGTTCTCTCCGATTATGAGTTTTTGCAGGGTTTTTTGATTTATTTCAACACAGAATTAACATCAGTTATGAAATCACTGAAAACAAGGGGGTACTGGATGGGTGTTTCACCCTGTTTTGGGACTCTCCAGCAGCGCTCACCCATAACACGACCAAGAATCTAACCCAAGACCTTCAAGTTACGATGATGTATGAACTTTAGCTCCTGTCAATTTACGATATAGCGCTACAGCCAACAAATTTCATCGACAAGTATTCGCTTCATACCAACATGGTGGACCTCACTAGCCGCGATTTCTCATTAGAACTTCAGGAAATCAATGCAGCCAATCATGAGTTGGAGACAGCTGTTCAGTACTACCAGCTTTTCAATGATTCTCTAACTAATGTTGATTCTTGAAGAAACCTAAATCAAAAACAATTTATAAGACTTCAACTACTGAAAGGACTCGAAAGATCACTGTGTTAAGAAATTGTTAAGTTTTGCAGATATCCCACACAAGTGCAATTAATCTAGTGTTTCCCGAGCTTTCATAATTTGATCGTAGATATCTAATCACCATCGAAATTAGTAGTCAAAACATTACCACATCTAGTGATGAAATATCCACGGTCAAATATCAAAGCTAAGGAAACGCCAGATAATTTCCATCCACATAATGAAATAAAAATCTATTCTATTGTTCTACACACGTGTTTCAATGCTCAACAGATATATATATATATATATTCATTTTCATTCCTTCGAGTTTTCAGTAGAACATAGGGCGCCGAGCTTGGAGTTTTAGTTGCAGTGATGCTGTTAGCTTCACGCCCAACCTTCCATATATTTCGAACTTACTACCGGCTTGTAAACTAAACAAAATTTAGGAGTGCATCAGCAGGGAATTGAACCTGGACTGAATATATATATATATATATGCGCTACTGGTGAAGCTGTGGGATTGCATGGCATATCATAACAGGATACAAAAGAGGCACAGCGTATAAGATGGAACAGCCTACACAATTTTACTGTTTCAGATGAGTGAAGTAAACGTGTTGGGAAGACTATGGCCTTTCAGTTACTGGGATAATAAGAACACGTGCTACGCAGTTCACCTTCACTCTGTCAAAATGAATAGTCGATTGCAATAGGATGAGGATGAAAACATCTTAATTTATACAGCGCAAGATTTTGCCACTACATAAAGCAACAGTTTTAATGTCACCAATCAAATAAAGTTGTATCTCATGTATTTAAGCGCCTAACTTTTAACCAGAACAACATGGGTTTGAATTCAATCTCATATGAAGATATTTCAGCAGTAAGGTACTAAAGTTATCCTTCAGAAAATTACACAGAGCTCATTAATAAGTGAATAATGACGCAAATAGTTGTTCAGTAAGGAACATTACAATTTCACCCATTCAAAATTTTCACGAAAGTAGAATACGACAGCTGGCTTTAGCTAACCTAAATTTACGCCAGTACTACGAATGAAACATTCTCTTACATTAGAGTGAAAAGAAAAAACAACAGAAAATGATACATTGGAGTAGTGTTTGTCTAAATGGGTCTTTTTATTTGTAGATATGCGGCTCATTGGCTTTATCACTTGTATTACAGCCAGTAGGTGCATTAACCGAATTCAGCTCTACATGCTTCATCCTGCGCGACCGCATAGCATCGTCAGCACTCACACAATAAGTGAGGCTCATGAACTGGTGTATGAAAAATCTGTTCCGCGTAACTAGATTCGAACGGACTTGCTTATCTTACTATAGAATGGAGCCTTAAAGTGTTTTGCTAACATGTAACTGCTGTTCATCTCAAAGTTTTAGTAGATAAATTCCGCAGTTTTGTCAAATGAAGTTCAGTTGTCATGTTACAATGATTTTTTCTGGAAACTGATTTCCATTTCACTTTTCATTTATCTGAAAGTGTAACTGCTATGTGAATGCTTAGAATAATTTTACCTGAAATGAGATGTCCCCAAGGTAGACCAGTGGAATGTAACTGAGGAGCATTGGGATGAGATCGAGCCAGCCAATGGATAAGATTGAACAGTAGAATTTCCAAATCCCCACGACGAGATGGAGGGAGTCCTGTAAAGGTGAAAGGAAGATATTATGTTATGAGAGAATTTGACACCGTTTGAAAAAAATTGCTAAAGTTTATAAGAAAACCAGTGTTGGAGGCTGAAAAACTACACGGCTATGTTCCAAGAATACACAAAGCAGGAAAGCGAAAAAAACTTCTAGGTATTTATTATCAGCTGAACAAGTAAAAAGAGTTCATCTTATCTGAACAAAAAAGAACTAAGACTTCACATCACTGATATCTATGGTGTTGCTTAGCCAGAAAGAATCAACAATAAGTGTTCTTGAATTTCTGGTTTGACTGCATCATTCCTAAAGAACTAATTAATCTCTTGATGCTGAGTAATTCATTGTGTTCACTTAGCATCTTAATCCCTACAGTATAAGTACCTTAAGGGCAAGTGGAGTCACAAAATGATATAATAATAATTTGCTTTATTCCAAAACAGTACATGTGATACAGAATGGGATTCTCAGCATTTTTACTACAGTATTGCATCCAGTTAGTACATTATCAATAAATAGAATCCTACATAGACCAAGGAAATCTCAGTTCATTATGACAACAACATATTGGCGTGTCGGTAGCAAAGCCAAAATTGAACAGTGTTTGAAGGTATTAGAAGAGTAGGTGCTATCATATTTACTGGCGTAAGCGGGAGAAAGAAACAAAGCAGCACATAACGGAAAAAGGAGGAGTAAAAAAGAGAGAAAAGGAAAAGAAAGAAAGAAAATGTTGTACCTATAAATGATATGAGTTGAAAAGACAAGATCCAGTTGTTCTACTGACTATTTAATGAATTGTAGGTGTCACGCCTAATGCTTTCTTTATCGCACAGAACACGAGCTAAGTAGGGTATGGTTGAGTTTTTGTACTTGATGGTGTGAGCATATAGTTTTCTATAAAGGCTTCTAGTTTTGCCTGATGAGATGCAAGGGGACAGTTGTGAGTGAAGAGGGTGGTGTGAGTTAGATAAAATGGATTTGGAATGGAAGTTGTCCAATTTTCCAACGAGCGCTTCAGAAATTGACATACAAGAAGGTAACTTAACGATCATAAAATAATGAAATTTCCGAGGGAAAATAAACAGACAAACAAAATATATTACATACCAGTATGTGCATCTCGTGAACAAAACTCTATTGTTCCATTGTGTCGAAATTTAGGATCTGATTTCTCAACAGTATGTACACCTTTTGAACGAAATAAATGGACTAGACCAAAGTCAGCTAAGTAAACCTAAAAGGCAACAGAGAGAGAACTTCCCTTATAACATCAATAGGACAACAGTTAGTACAGTCCTATAAACTTATAAATTATACTTCTAATAGCGTATATAATAAATATGTAGTTCTTAAGATTTATGAATACAGTTAAAGGGAACGACTGTAGTTTATGTCTGTCAAACTTTTCAACAAAGTACACATATACTCTTAGGCAAATTGATTTTAATAAAGTTAGTGGTGAAAGCCTCACCAACTTTTTTTTGATAAAACCGCAATGATCAAATATCAAAACCAGGAGAATACTAAATAACTGTCCTAAGCCTGAGCTGTAAATATTCTTTGTCATTTTAAAAAACGGGTTTTCTGGTTAAAATTTTATCAAATAATGAATAAGAGACAATTAGACCCTACGATACATTTTGATTGCCGATAACATGATTCGGAACCAGTTGCATTTCCATCGTGAATTTCATTAATCTTAGACATCCAGTAGTTTTAAAACTGTACTCTGGTTAAATGATGCAAAATGGTTTGATGCCCATTGTTAAAAATTAGGAGTCGTACCTGTTATCATTATCAAAAATAATGTATCACTGTTAGCAGACAGAAGTGAAAGAAAAATTGTAGGGACCAGAAGAGGATTGAGTGCTGCTTAAGAGTCTAACACCTTCTGACTTCCAATACTATGGGAGGTTAGCTCTTCCAAAAGTATTTGAAGCAAAATAAAGGCCATTTTTGTGCAGTCTTAGACACCGAAACAAATATTCTTCTACGGTTATAGGATTCGTCTCTTACCACATCCCCCCTCTGCAACATGGAAGATAACTCAGTTAACTAATAGTCAGTTGCGGTAAATAATTTACTGCTATCTCACCTCCATCCAGTTATCAGTGTAACTTTATCGTCGCAACGAAAATTATCTACACCACAACGCTTCTGGCGTCTCGTGATCTTACAGAACAATTAACCTAGACAACATAGCTTGCTACGTCATTGCGATATGCAGGCTGAGTCACAACTTCCTATAGAAGGCCGTTGGTTCGGTAGTTAATGCTTCATAGATAAATTACTTACCAAACGGTGACCAGTCCTCAAGAATAAGGCATTTTCCATCAGTTTCCTCTTACATATATATAAACTAGTAACAAGGTAACAAGCAAAAACCTGCATTATCTGTCTTCATCAACCACTTTAACTACTTCTACCTAATTGCCAGTAATGTACAACTTCAAGAATCGATGTCATCGAAAACCTGTCACACAAATTTCGTATTACCTATATGAGTTCATATAAATTTGAATCCCTTCTAAATAAATGAGTGGTTGAATAAAAAAAATAGTTTGTTTTTTATCGATGTCACCATTAATTGTGTCATAAGAAAAGAAATGCTTACTAGCCAAATAAAACTAACCTCTTGTTTGGAAGATCCGTGAAGAAGATTAGAAGCTTTAATATCTGCGTGAGCGTAGTCTCTTGAATGCATATATTCTAGTGCATTTAGCTAAAAATTCAAAACAGTTATTTTAAATCAGTATACACATAAAACTAAACAGTACTAAATGCTACTTTACTAAAATAGATTTCGTTGTAAGAGCAAAACAAAAATAAGGGATATGAATAGCGTCAAAACTTGAGAGAGATCGTGAAAAAAGCTTAGAATTATGTACAACCCTAATCAACAGGGCTCTATATCAAACCAGCTGAAAGACTTAACGACCAAGCTAGTGACCTAGAGATTTCCACCTCAAATACAGCAACGACTCAGGTTTTAGTTTAATCATTATCTCGATGAAATTAAAATTAGTCTACAAAGCTAATATTACCTCAAACTCTATAATAATAGTCTTAACCAGATCGGTTGCTGTTGCAGAATGTCACTATACAATATTTGTAGTGCAAGTCCAAGCCAGTGTCTCAAGATGACACCACTTATCGAAAGACGACTTCCACCATGCCTAAACACACACTGTCGGACTTCAAAATTACTTACACACTATCGAATACGCAGAGTTGCTTTACGTTTTCAGCCCAGAGAAACCAGGTTCCACCGGTGTAGATTGAGATTGTGTGCGCCGAAGCATTGTAAACACAACCTTTGACAGTTAGACTAACGTAACGATAGGGCCAGAGGTGAACCAGGCTGGTGTGTGCCACCAGAGCTTTCGTAAAAAGTTAGGGATTTCATCCGTCACACCTTCGCCATTTCTCACACAACTACCTAGGAATGTTGAATTTCCACCAATTCTAGCGATTTACCGAATATATTAGTATTTCACACTCATCTTTTGCCAATACTTTTTTCTCAACTCAGATGACTTTCTCAACTATTTTAGTTTTCAGTAACTGAGATGATTCACGACTGCAGTCTCTTACACTTCTATTTACCTAGTTCTGTTTAACATCACACATCCACAAAAAACAACAGCACGTCTCTTTGATATGCGGCGCTACTCAAATGCCCTAACCCCGGTACATAAAGAGGTTTTTAAACTCATGACACAACAGTTATAGTCACATGCCATGGTTAATAGGGAAATAAACATATGAACCAGAATATCTACTTGCATATTTGCCTTTCACTTAGTGAAGCGTTTACTGTTCCATGAATGGAACCTGTTATATTAGTCGTCATACAAGACAAAGTGTTTGCATGAACATGTCAATTACGCTGCACCTTGAAGGGAGAAAATGATCAAACTACTCACCACATTTGCGCTGACTTCAAGAATACCAGATGCGGATATTTCACGATTCTTTAATGTGGATTCGAAATCTCCAGAGAAACGATCCATCACAAGGAATCGAAGGGCTGTTTTATTTAAATTAATCGACCCACTGCTTATATATCTCGGAATGCCAAGGTACTTAAGAGAATGACTCGACTTCCATGAGTTGACTTGTATAATTTTTAAGAAGTAAAAAGAATAATTGAATAGTTCGTGAAAAATTACCCTTACTAAATTGTTTTATAAATAAAGGTTTAAAAACAGTTCTGAAGGTAATAACGACAGTCTCAACGGCGGAAGCATATGAGAATAAGCAGCCGTAACTGTGAAATCGAACAATAAAGTGAAACTCATCTTCACTCCAGCTGAACAGCACTCACAACCACGTTACTCCAAAGAACAATTGTGTACAATTTTGGTGAAAGTTTAGGAACTGGGGCAGAAGGTTAGTAATCTAGATGTTCGGTAGCCAGACCATTTCTTACTGACTCAAACACTGCTTAATACCGCAAGATGTGCATTTCCTCTAAACATATGGTAATTACGGATAACATCCCAGTACGATAAGTCATACCTGGCAGCTAAATAGATTTACTTCGTCGAATTCACTCTGTAAAGCTATTAATCTATACTATAAGTATGGTACGAGTTGATCTTCAGTGAAAGACTGCCTAATTCTTGGAAAGTGAATACCTTAAGGAACTACTAAAAAATTGAAATCAGCAGGAGATACAAAAGACGCTGATATCTCTGAAACATACCACAGGGATAACTTGCGTAGAGTTCTGTTCAGATTCGCTACATTTCTACTTGACATGTCATCTCTCAATAAACTGTTATAACACAACTACGTTACTAATTGCGATGTATCACCCCTGAATATACAGACCAGTAATTAGGTTTGCATCAAAACACGTAGTCAATTTGCTTTATGAACCAATGGTTTAGGTATTGGTCATTAAACTAGTGAATTGCATGTTTGGATTCTATCTGACCTACCAAGGTGTAAGAATTTGTGAATAACCCATCAGCTTTAGTATAACGGTAAAGCTTAGCAAAAGAAACCAACGAGTCGTACTGAGCATATTGCAATGCACTATAGCTATTTTCATCTTTGTCTGCAATATTGTTCATCAGCATTTCATTATGAAAAATACTTCATACAAACCTTCCCAATACTTCTACTGCTCGAAATCGCAACCAGTTCTGTCATGAAACGAATTACGAGAACGAAATCCACTACTTATCTGCAAAAGCAACAGCTACATTTTTCAACATAACAGTATAATGAGGTAGACGTACAACAACCAGATCCTCAGCCAATACAAGTATGCAAATAACTCTTTTAATATAGGAGCACGAAATATACACGTTAAGTCAGATCAGATAATTCTTCACAAGAATAGGATTTCAATTTGATTACAGATATCTAAGCAAAGTTGACACAGGACTATAAATCACCTACAGGATTAAGGTATGATTTCTCGAAATTTTACTCTCCTTCCCATACCATCACAATAACCCCGGTCTTTCCACTCGATCTGAAAGCAAGTCAAAAGGAGGTAATATAGAGCTAAATTCTACCCGAAAGTTTTATCAATAATATGGGTGAGGGCACAGAGAAATGGTATACATGTTTGGAAAATAAGAGACACAGACCTTGATAGAGAAACTCAAAATACTGAACACAATGTTAAAGATTATAAATAAACATACTTGCATTCTCAGAACATGCTCGCATGTAAAAATGCATTTCAGTAAAAAGCGGTCCATTTTCTTGGGGTTCCTGCAAACATTATTCGTATAAAACAATATACTTACTATCTTAGCAACATAATGATAAGCTTTTTCACCCTCAAGTTTAACTAAATTTTATAAAGGAAACTAACGAACAGCTGGTACCTGCGTAGATTCGGCCGAAACCACCCTGACCGATTGCATTACCAATGACCCACTTTCTTTTAAGTGAGTCTTGTAACACTGTTCCGGTTTCTACAGGTTGCGCCAAGCTGTAAGCAGTTGCCTTTACAGCCCTACATTTCCGAACTGACATATCTAGTTATAATTTGAATAGGCGGTGCCTACGTCCAAGGTCAAAACTTCGAGGCACGTACGTATAGTCCGCCAAAATCAAATTTCAACATTTTAACACGGTTATTTCAGTACTTCTTAGTTTATAACGCAAATATATGAAATCTTTTCAGTCAGCCGAAGTTTACCTAATAATATGTCTTCTGCAGCATTCTTTTTATCACTGCTAAAACGTGGTTCACCACCATCTGACTGTTCCGGAAAGTGCTGTGGCACGTGAACTTTCTAACTAAAATGACAAACCTTAATAAGGCGGTCATGTTTGAGGAATTCTCTCCCTCATCTATACATTCCAAGATTAATGGAAGTAATTGGCGTAGTTCTTCAAGTCACATTACGCAAGGAGGATTACACTATTTCCAATATCCAATTTCGTTTTTACGAGCTAGCATAAACCAATTTGATTCCTTTGTGCTCGCTTCTTGAGTATGAAGTATAGGTTCCTGGCCTTCAGTAAACTTCTGCGTAGCTCGTTCCACCACTCGACTGTCGTAACTTTGGTTGACTCCAAAAGAAGTGGTACTGGGATTATTTACGCGTAGTTTGTAGTGTGCGGTATGTTAATACCGTGTTACTACTGTGAGTGCAGTTGATCCTTTCGCCCATTAGTCGTCCGGTGTCGTCAAAAGAAAAGAGACAATATTAATAGATGTAATCAGTGTAGGATACGTGGACTAAAAGGAAGAAAACGTAAAAACCGGCAGCTAATGAAATTTGAAGTTGATATATATATACCAGTGATAATAATAGTTTAAAGGACGTAATAGTTGGAGTAGTCAGGAGAGTAAAACGGTGAGTTTAGATGTATACAGATTAAAAGTGTATGAGATTTTAAGGGGGTAAGCCACTTGAACGCAGTCCCTGTGTCGCCGCATGATTGTCCAGCCTTCGTTTATAGCTGTACGTGGACGGTGCAGTAGCTACATCTGCTGGTAAGGACAAGCTTTCATTGCGCAGTGTGTAACTTGCATTCTGCAGTTTACAGGTACGCAGTTGCACTCCTTTGCAATTTTTTGGTTGAAAGTCACACCATTGGTCACCACCCACTCTTTCAGAAGGTTTAGATCTGCCTGCAGCCTATGCGAGTATCCCGAACACTTTATTGCTCTCCAACTCTTTACGTCGTCAGCGCAAACAAGAGTCGGGAAGCCTAGACCGTATGGTAGGTCATTGATACAAATCAAAAACATAAGTGGCCCTAGGGCAGAGCCGTGCGACACTCCTGATGACGAGCTATGCCAAGTCGACTCGATTCGATTTACCTTAGTGCAGTATTTGCTTTCATCTAGGTAGTCTTTCAACTATGACAGATGCGGCCCACCTATACCCGCCTGACTTGTTTTGTTTGGGAAGAGGTCATGGTGGACTGTGTCAAATGCCTTCTCAAAGTCTAGGGAGACAACATGAACTGGAACATTCATATCCCACCATCCAATATCCAATATCGTTTTTACGAGCTAGTATAAGCCAATTTGATTTCTTTGTGCTCGCCTCTTGATTGTGAGGTAGAGGTTCCTGATCTTCGTTAAACGTTTGCGTAGCTCGTCCCGCCACTCGACTGCCGTAGCTTTGGTTGAATCCAAAAGGAGTAGTGCAGGGATTAATTATATGTGGTTTGTAGTATGAGGTGTGTTAAGACTGTTACTACTGTGAATGGAGTTGATCCTTTCACCAGTTGGTCCTTCGGTATCGTCGTCAATAGAAAAGAGATAATAATAATAGATATAATTAGTGAAGGCATTCAGACTAACAGACAGAAAAAGAATAAGAAAACGCAACAACAGTCAGTCAACCGGTATATACATATACATACATAATATACCGTTAATAATGAAAATAATAATAGGTGTAGTTAAAGCTGACAGGAGAGTAAGACTGAAAGGAATGTGAAGAAGTAAAACGACCAGTTTAATTGTCTACCTTTGAATGGTATATGCGATTTTAAGGGGATAGGCCATTTGGATGCAGTCTTTGTGTCGCTGCAAGGTTGTCCAGCCTTCGCTTAAAGGCGTCCACAGAAGGTGCCATAGCTACATCTGCCGGTAAGGAATTCCAGGGACGGCAAACCCGCAGGGAAAAAGTAGGAGCGCACCCGGGTCCTTGCCCTCTGATGAGCTATCCTTCTAGGATTTCCAGGAGGGATCCTATACCTACTCAATGGCAGAACACCTTTGTCTGGGTGATTCTGATCATTTGTTATTTTGTAGGCAGTAATTAAATCCCCCCTAAGACGACGGTAACCAAGTGTGAATAGGCCTAATTTCTTCAGCCTTTCATCATAGGGTTTATTTCGGAGACCAACCATTCCTTTTGTTGCCCGTCGTTGGACTCTTTCCAAGAGGTTGGCGTCTCTTCTAAGCAGTGGGGGTGTAACGATATTATGCACTTCAAGATGCGGTCTGACGTATGTTTTATACAACCTTAGAAAGAGCTCAGGAGTGAGTGCACCTGATTGTCTATGTGTAAAGTATATGGCCGCATATGCCCTCGCTACATCCCCCGTGTAATTTACACTTGTGTCCATTTTCTCCGTTAGAACTAGACCTAAGTCACGTTCCGACGTTGAGCAGGACAAGCTTTCATTGCACAGGGCGTAACTTGCATTCTGCAGTCTGCAGGTGCGTAACTTCACTACTTTGCACTTTTTCAGGTTTAAAGTCATGCCACTCATTCTTTTAGAATAGGTGAGCCAATGTCATCACAACCTGAAGACTTTCCAGGTGTGAGTCTCTGGGGTTTCCCTAGTACTATTGCGGGGATAATTTGAAGAGTAGCCACCAAGTTTTTCTTCGGTGAAACAGTAGTGCCGCCATTTTGGCCCGTATCGGTAATACCCACATTTCTGTTTAACTGTTTTCGAAGGCTAAATTGAGTGTTTCAGCCGTTTCCAAACTAGTAAGATAATGACTGTTTGGACCTACCAAGGCGCATACCCCCGGTTGACTGGCTCTTTCTCCGACATGAGTTGGTTAAGGCTTTCGAGTTTTGCCAGATTTTTGGCCAGGTTGGCCTGAAATGAATTCCTGTCATCCCCGACTCTTGTATTGCACCGGTTCCTGAGTTCAAGGTGTGCATCGTGGCCGATCTGACTCTTGGATATTCCCCAAGTAGACTAAGCCTTTCGCTTCGCTTACAGAATACGTTGCGTACCTCTCTTCGGCCATGAGGATATCTTCTTCAGCTGCGTTGTTACTGGGCTAAGGTATCTGAGATCACTGTGTGAATAATCTCTTTTACCACTTCCAAGTGTTCATCCACAGATAACTCATCCCATTCTAAGGTCCATTCTTCGACGGACACAAAGCCTCCGCATTCCAGCATAGTCCGCCTTGTTAAATCACAGACATAATCGCGTAACGTCTCACCGCAAGCGCTTACATAGAACAAGATCAAACGCTATGACTGAGTGGTCACTACTCCCTAGAGTTGTCATGATTTGGACATTTCCGGCAAGTAGCTGGTCACCAGTTAACATACAATCTGGTTTTCGCAACTTTTCACGAGGGCCCCACCTGCTGTCGTCTCAAACGTCCTCAGTGAGTCCAGTATTTCTAATGGTTTGTAGCAGATTTCGACCGAATTTTCCCTGAGTATACCCCGAATCAAGGTTCAGGGATGGATCATTGAAGTGTCAAGCTATGATGATTTGGTCATATCCCTAATCCCGTATCCCTGCGATGACGCTGAGCAGTAGCTGCCCCACAGGTGGGTGATCGGTGGAGGCCACCCAGTAAGTGCTTGATGTCACCTGCGGTAAATGACACCATATGGAGTCTGGGAGTTCAATAAGTGGTGGGTCCATTGCACGTAGACATTTAAGTTGCTTGTTAAAGTACATGGCAACTCCCTCTCTCTTGTTATCCCTGACTCTCCTGACGCGAAGCATATCAGTTATACTGATTTCGTTGTCGATGATAGTGTGGTTAGCCAGGTTTCAGTCAGGATTATTGTTTTGAGGTGTAGGTGTGACTACAGGTTTCTGAGTTCACCTTCTCTCCCTCTCAGCCCTCTTACATTGCCATACAGGCAGCTGACAGTGAGTCTCACCACCCCAGAGCGTTGTGCAGTAGTTGACGCTACGTTGTCTGCTGGTAGAGGCTTTAATGCCAGGACTAATTGACCGATCTCGCTGGAACCGACCTTATGTCGTTTTCTCCCTGGGTCCACTTAGGTCACTTGAGCGACACTGACTATCATTCTCAGTGCCATACCGCTGTAGTATCACTGAGGCATGGGGATGCATTGTGACATCTGTTTGCTGCCTCATTATGGTTTGAGGCCTGCTTTTGCAGCATCGGATGTGTCCTCCCAAATTACTCTTGGTCTCGTACCACCATCGAAGTACTAGAGCCAACTGTTCCTGGGAGCCGAATTTGAAACTTAGTAGCCTTGTAGAGCTAATCAATGTGAGATTAGATGGACGAGATAGCCGGAAAATCAACATTGCTCCAGAAGCACCAAGAGCCATCTGAGATCACAGCTATCTCCACTGATGCACGTCATGCACGTGTTTTTAATAATAATAATTTATATTTCGGATAAACTGGTGTTTTCAAGAAATGCATGTCATTTTTACAGCCACTATCAGTAATGTTATAAATTACAATCACGAAGTATCATAAACTAATACTTTTCAAAACACTAGATTGTTCGATTATTGTACAAGCAATCAGAACAGGTTCTTATAAACGTTCATTTGTAAACCCTTCACTAAGGTCACCATGAAAGGTAAGCGACCACTCAAACTTTTTTCCGTTTCCTGATGATAATAATAGTCAGTCAGTGAACAGAGTTTATTTGGATAAGTGCTATTCTCCCACATGATTCATAGCTATTTCAGGAGGAAACTGCAAAATGACACAAAATACAACTGTGGATAATACATCACTGGAAGTACATTTACAAGTTATACATGAGAAGCAAGTGGAGACTCCTTGGAATGGTAGTATACATTAACAATGTTTAATGCTAACCATACTGGTCCTAGAATAGGAACTATGGCATTTCCGAAGAAAATATAGCT